TTAATTAGAAGTAAATGCACTATTATGATAGATATAATTAATATAAAATACATATTAAAATACTTAAGAATCGAATTACAACAAAAACAAATACAAATTTAAATACATAGCCTACTAATTAATTTATTATAGGCCTACATGTTTTTTTTAATATCATACACGGTATAAAATCCGGAATATCAGAACATCAAATTTTACGAATTGGAAAAATTTCACACACACTAAAATTTCAAGTGCTTCCCTCGAAGAAAAAAAAACTGGAAGAAGCAATATCGTGCATATGTTTAAAAAAAAAAAACAATTTCCGAACACATTATTAAAGTTGACTAACTCGTAAGGACGGCCTTGGGACTGGAGCGGCGTCGTCCCATTTCCAAATATCAAACGCCCCTTCTTATTTCCCCATTTAGATCTAGATCTATTTACTTCATGTTGCAGTCTCTGATACTTAATAGTGATATTGTAGAAATGCTACTAAATTTTATAAACTTTTTTGGCTTTTTTAAAGTTGTTTAAGGCAATAAAATATTTCTGCTGGCGATGAAAGTCATGGGTTGAGACTGCTTGCTTTATACTCGATCTCAATTTTCAGCTTTTGGTTTTCCAAAATCCTAGGACTTCGATCTCAAGATAGATCTAAATCTAGCTCTAATTCTAGGTCTAGGTTTTAGTTTTATTGCTATAGCTTTACAGCTATGTACCATGTATAAATCTACACTAGACTAGGTTCACTAAATCTTCTATCTAATTTCGGTAACCAGAAAGAAGCGCAAGGGAAAAAAGCGCAACGGAAAAAAGCGCAAAACAAAAAGCGCAACGGAAAAAAGGGCATACGGAAAAAAGCGCAAAGAGAAAAAAGCGCACACAGAAAAAAGCGCAAAGAGAAAAAAGCGCAAACGGAAAAAAGCGCAAACGGAAAAAGGCGCACACGGAAAAAAGCGCAAACGGAAAAAAGCGCAAAGAGAAAAAGCGCACACAGAAAAAAGCGCAAAGAGGAAAAAGCGCAAGCGGAAAAAAGCGCAAACGGAAAAAAGCGCACACGGAAAAAAGCGCAAACGGAAAAAAGCGCAAACGGAAAAAAGAGCAAAAAGAAAAAATCGCAACGGAAAAATGCGCAAACGGAAAAAAGCGCAAACAGAAAAAACGCAAACAGAAAAATGTGCATACCAGAAAAAACACAACGAAAAATGTGCGAAAGAGAAATTTAGCACAAAGACCTATATCGAATAGATGACACATTTAAACATGACTGTTAGGGCTGCTGTGAGAGTGTCGTGTTTGATCACGTGATCTACTGCCATTTAAAGCGTACCACTACCATGTGCATTTCCATCACCACGATACAGGCGATAATCGCTTTACACAATGCCTATTATTTTTTTGGTTAATAATTATTCAACTACTATTCTCGTATAAATAAACATAAAAATATCGACATTACACGAAGTATCTTTCACATTCTCCCTAGTCCGAACTACCTAGCTTGCATACCATAACAACTCGTTCCTATGGCAAAATTTCACTCTCTTTCATCCGCGTCATTAAACATGCATTCGTCATACCTCTCGTATCAACATTCATTCGCACCAAAATAACAATTTTGTATTTAATATTTTTTTCACATCATGACGCACCTACCTACCTACCTACCTACCTACCCACCTACCTACCTACCCACCTACACACTTACCTATCTACCCACCTACCTACCTACCCACCTACCCACTTACCCACTTACCCACCTACCTGCCTACCCACTTACCCACCTACCCACCAAAAAAGTATCGGCGAAGTTCTTAAGTTTCGTAAACTGTACTAGACATCTTTTTTTTTTAATGAAAATTCATTGACATCATTGACATGTTACATATATGTTACATTTTGCGACAACCTTAATTAGTGCGTTGGGCTTGTATGAAAACTCACTTTGAACTAACTCAATTACATGCTATTTATTTTAACATTACACGGTAAGCGTCACCCAACTGTTGTGATGTTAGGTGAGGACAGGTTCGACAATAAACCAACACGAAAGTACGAAAGAGACATAGACTGCCTATTAGAGAATGGACCCATTAACTTTCCTAACCCCACCATTTATTATAACCTACCTAACCTCTAAATTTCCTGCGCTAAATGTCACTTTTCTCCCAATCGTTCCTATTCTACAGAATTGTGTACTATTTATTTACATTCTTTAATCTCAATATAACTAAAATAGACTTTTGTTTGAAGGGTAATGAAAACATGTAAACAAAAGGGACGCTACTCTAAATCTATGCGAATACTTATATGTAACAATCCTAACCCCAACCAAAACATGTACTGGACAGCATAATGGGTAGAATGTAGCCAGAGTTTCTTCCAGGCATCTCTTTTACCGCCAACCCCCGTCCGAACGAAATAGAATTTATAAAGTAAACATACACTTTTACTAGTGCCCCCCCCCCCCGTCCCCCCGCAAAAAAAAGTCTGGAAGAAACACTGCATGTAGCTTATATAACAGAAAAGCTATGGTTGTTTATATCATTTTGCATTCGTCCGGTAAACATTTCAGTAAAATATCTTTAAAAACCTCCCATAATCTTTTATAAAGTAACAAAGAGAGATGAAGTTTTATAATAACATTAGGCTTTGACTTTTACCTACTCCAATGGCATATTCATTGTTAAACTGATTAACTATGTAATGTAGGGCTCAACTGGTTCAATTAACTAACCTTACGCCAAACCAGTTTGAAATTTCGAGTTTTATAACACTGTTACTAAGCTAGAAAAATGGAAATGTGCATAATCTATATCATCTACACAAATACTCAACCACCTACCTAACTACCCACCCTCACTTCTACCCATATACCCACCTAACAACCTACCCACCCACTTACCCACCTACCCATATATATATATATATATATATATATATATATATATATATATATATATATATATATATATATATATTTTACTTGGGTCTATATGTCCCGCAACTATGAAGTGAGAGGGTCTACACTACCATTATATTCTGTCTAGCCATTCAGTAGTTCATCCCAAAGCACGACGACATCAAAAATGGATTTACAGAATGATCAAAACCCAACTTACAATTCGTGGGAAAAAATAATATGATACACTATCACAGCTTTAAACACTTCAGAAAAATCACCACAGTATACAAAACACTGCTATAAGCATAAAGAATTACTTAACCACAAGTAATATATTAATATGCTACTTAAACAACTGAATACTACACGGCAACACACAGGGCTTATCAACTCTCGACGACGTCTGACCAAAGACTGCCTCGAGACACCTGTGGGCAATCTATTTATAGACTTAGGTAACATGGAAGGTCACCTTCAAATCATAAGACCATTGGTTGGGGTGGTTATCTGGTCTGAATCAATCAATCATCTCTTGATGGAAAATTTATGAGTCTAAGACTCTCTTAGTAAGACAGCGAAAAAAACCGGTCATTGTACCACAGACCATATATGGTATTAAAGCCAAATGTAACTAAAAATAACCAGACCTAAGTAGGTCACAGTGTCCATGTCTACAGGTGTACATGTCTACGGGTGTCCATGTCTACAGGTGTCCATGTCTACAGGTGTCCATGTCTACAGGAGTCCATGTCTACATGTGTCCATGTCTACAGGTGTCCATGTCTACAGGTGTTCATGTCTACAGGTGTCCATGTCTACAGGTGTCCATGTCTATATCCTACCATAAATGTGGCCACAACGATTTACGGTACAGGGTGAAATGGTGGTGTTAAATTCTAACAAAATATTTACAACCGTCTCCCGTAGATATCAGTGATTCTTTCAAATCCGATCTTTTAAAACCACTCAATCGAGACGTGTAAAAAAATAAAACCCCGTGTCTGGTGTCCATGTCTACGGGTTTCCATGTCTACAGGTGTCAATGTCTACAGGTGTCCATGTCTACAGGTGTCCATGTCTACAGGTGTCCATGTCTACAGGTGTCCATGTCTACAGGAGTCCATGTCTACAGATGTCCATGTCTACAGGTGTCCATGTCTACAGGTGTCCATGTCTACGGGTGTCCATGTCTACAGGTGTCCATGTCTACAGGTGTCCATGTCTACAGGTGTCCATGTCTACAGGTGTCCATGTCTACAGGTGTCCATGTCTACAGGTGTCCATGTCTACAGGTGCCCATGTCTACAGGTGTCCATGTCTACAGGTTTCCATGTCTACAGATGTCTACGTCTATAGGTGTCCATGTCTATAGGTGTCCATGACTACAGGTGTCAATGTCTACAGTTGTCCTTGTCTACAAGTGTCCATGTCTACAGGTGTCCATGTCTACATATATATCCATGTCTGCAGGTGTCCATGTCTACCCATGTCCATGTCTACATGTGTCCATGTCTACAGGTGTCCATGGCTACCAAAGTCCATGTCTACAAGTGTCAATGTCTACATCTGTCTATGTCTACAGGTGTCCATGGCTACAGGTGTCCATGTCTACAGGTGTCCATGTCTACAGGTGTCCATGTCTACAGGTGTCCATGTCTACAGTTGTCCATGTCTACCCATGTCCATGTCTACAGGTGTCCATGTCTACAGGTGTTCATGTCTAAATGTGTCCATGTCTACAGTTGCTCATTTCTACAGGTGTTCATGTCTGAGGTGTCCATGTCTACAGGTGTCCATGTCTACAGGTGTACATGTCTACAGGTGTCCATGTCTACAGGTGTACATGTCTACAGGTGTCCATGTCTACAGGTGTTCATGTCTACAGGTGTCCATGTCTACCGGTGTCCATGTCTATATCCTACCATACATGTGGCCACAACGATTTATAGTACAGGGTGAAAAGCTCATATTAAATTCAAACAAAATATTTACACCCGTCTCCAGTAGATACCAGTGATTCTTTCAAATCTGATCTTTTAAAACCACTCAAGCGTGTTGTGTAAAGAAATAAAACCCCGTGTTTGGTATATAACTCAGGTGACTTCTTGTTCACGTCACATATCACTTCCTTACACAACTGGTGTATGCACTGTTTGGGATTCAATTTCAACTCGGTAATTCAATTAGGTAATTAATTAGGCGTTTGTTGATTTTATATTTTAATCGGTAATTATTTTATCTTTAAATTAAAGGTTAATAGGTTAGGCAGATATTTTAAATAGTTTAATTAAAGCAAATAAATTCTTTGAATAAAATTGACCGTAAGTCAATCGCTCACCTCCAATGATGGCCGGCATTACAATTAATAAATCTTGTGTTATTATGTTTTGATAATCGGTACTTTGTTTGATCTAATATTTTTTTTTATATCTACACAAAAGTATAATTTAATTTTTTAACAAAAAAAAACCAGTGATATTAAATATATCGGTATTTAGGCCAAACAATTCTCGACCCAAAGTCAATTTGTAGGATGTGCGAAATTTATATAATTAAAATAGAATCTAATTTCATTTTAATTAATGTTCTTATAAAAATAAAATATAAAATCAAGAATATATATCCGTAATTATAATTTATTAAAATAGCTTATATATTCTTAGTTTATTTTTTTAATACTCACAATTCGATGCGTTGTATCAGAATCGATGCTCGTTAATAAAATTAAACGCCGATACCATTAAAGGTCAGACTTGCCTAATTGACAAACTGGCAAAAATTATTCTTTTAATTTACAGGTTAATTAGAAGTAAATGCAATATGATGCTAGATAAAATTAGTACCTATAAAATACATATTAAAATAATTAATAGTAGAATTACAACAAAGACAGCTACACATTTATAAACATAGACTACTATTTAAGCTATTATAATTCTTTTTTAATATCATACAAGGGATAAAATCTGAAATATTGGGACGTTAAATTTTACGAATTAGAAAAATTGTCTTAAACATACTTTAGTTTATTTTAAGTGTTAATCACGTATGGTTTATACTCAAAAATACACTTTTAGTTTATACTTTCGGTATCTTATTAGATTTAAAAATTGAGAGTGAGTAGTTCGATGTATACATTTTATCTAGATCTAAATTTGTGATTTATAAATATGTCATAATTATATTTCAGCAGAACAGATAAGCTCCACTATGTGATTGTAAACTTTTTAGGGTGTAAAATAAAATTGGAGGAACCTCAAAAGCATTTGCTAGACATAATAACATGATACATCACAAGGAGCGGACAGCAGACAGCATGGACATGACAAAATTAACCTGTGGACTGAACAGTGACCAGGGTTGTTAATGCCTGGGGGTGAGGAGTCGCCAATCTTGGGCCCATTGTCCCGTGGGAATTTCTAATGGGAGGGGACATATATATATATATATATATATATATATATATATATATATATATATATATATATATATATATATATATATATATATATATATATATATATAAACGCAGGCCAGTCAGAGATTCGTTGGACGGGCCAGTAAAGCTGATTTTTGGTAAACCGAAGAGTCCAGAATTTAAACACCAGTGCACCTAAGCCTCTATGTAGTCTGTCGCTTGACCTACTTCTGTTTACCGTCGTCATGGTAATGATGGCTGCCGAAAACGACGATTCCGTGATTCCGTTTTTTAACATTGTCATGTCAGAAATATAATCTTATAAGCGTTATGTTTTTAGCATTATTCAACGATACAGATCTAGTTTTAACAATGGGCGACTAGTGTTTGAGGCAAACTTGCCATTTGTACATTTGTTTGGTATAATCACTGAGAAAATCGAGCAGATTTATATAAAGTAAGCAAAATTATAATTACTGTATATAATATTGTTGTAAAATATTCAAAATACTCGGAACTATAGAAAATTATTTAATAAGTCATACTAAACTATTTTCATTAATTTAAAAAAAACAATAAATCAGCAAAAAAATAAAACTTAAAAAAAATAACATTGTAAAGATAACAGATAACAAAGCCCGCACAGTTCCATCATAAATGCTGTCATTCTGTAGTTCTACGCTAATGACAGTTCCATCATAAATGCTGTCATTCTGTAGTTCTACGCTAATGACAGTTCCATCATGAATGCTGTCATTCTGTAGTTCTACGCTAATGACAGTTCCATCATAAATGTCATTCTGTAGTTCTATGGTAATGACAGTTCCATCATAAATGTCATTCTGTAGTTCTACGCTAATGACAGTTCCATCATAAATGTTGTCATTCTCTAGTTCTATGCTAATGACAGTTCCACTATAAATGTTGTCATTCTGTAGTTCTATGCTAATGACAGTTCCATTATAATTTTATTTCTCTCTCCAGAGCCTGAAGGATCTTCCATAGCAGTGTGTGCTGTCTGGTGATGACTTAAAGTCAAGTGGTGAGTTCAAAGGTCAGTCAATTTATCTTACATGTTGGTCTAAGAAAGTATCTAACCATAATCTTCTAAAGCTGACCCTCATACTGAATTATGTCTGCCATATCATTGACCAGTGACTATTGTTATGTAGTTTATAAAGAAACACTGGTTGATGACTAGTCAAGCTACCATATAAACTTCTTTCTTTAAAAAGTCAAAATATTTTTAACTATACATAGTGACTGACAGCTGATGAATGTAATGTGAAGGTCAAGGTTATTTCAATCAAACAGCTGCCACAGATGACCATAAGACTACAGTAAAGGCCAGTAGAGATCTGTCACATCAAGCTACAGGTAAGTTTGTTAATTATCTTTTAACTTAATCAAGTTACAGCCATGATTTCGTGCTGATGTAGACAATGTGTCAAATCTTTGTGTTGTGGTTTATGTAACAGGGATTAACTTGGATAGTCTAGATCAGTGGTTCCCAAACTTTGTCGAGTGATACCTGTTTTAATACCCTGAGTAAAATTGCAAACTATTCACTAAACATTCGCGGTTAATCTTTTTTTAAGTATTTTTTTTTTGTTAACGCCAACCTATGTCATTATCATTATCATCATCTTAATTTTGTTTTTTATCATAAAATAGTGTTGAAAATCTATTCGCGAAACGTCAATCAATTTTACGTTTGGGTATGAATGGTGAATACTACACCAAAGTTGTGTCTGCAGTTTTTCATCTTACGGGGAATCATTCTGCAAATCAAAGAATTCATCTTGTAATTCATCGGGAATGCTGGCAACATTAAGGGAAGAAGAGAATGGGTAATGCGTCAATACAGATTCTTCTTCGTTCAGCTCAGAGAAATAGCGCTGCAGTTCGTTTTCAATAGATTCAAGATGCCCAGAAATTTCTTCTTTCAAAATTGTAATTAACTCACAATTAGATTCATCTACCACACTGCAGAGTTTCTCAAATTTACAATATTTCCAAGATTTATTTTCTTCGCCGATTTTTGCAGCTTTGATAAAAATGCCCCGAGATTATCATGGAAAGTGATAATATTCAGGTTATATTGATGTTCGACCACATCTGCTAGGTATGATACTCTCTCCAACCACTCTATGTCGTTTTAAGTAGGCTATACCAAAAGGTCTTTTTTCCTTTGCATTTCCAAGAACAATTTGATTTCAGATTTAAATTCAAAAACACGATTCACAACATTTCGTTTGACAGCCAGACTGTAGTGTAGAAGAGCAGAACCTCGTGATATTTATTAAGGTCTTTGCTTAGTTCTTTGAAGGCTCCAGATTTTATATAATTTACGATTTATACTAGCAATGAAGTCTTGATGGCGATGTTTGAGGGCAGTGGTTAGGGAGCTAAATCTTTTCTGTTTTCTGAAAGCCCGACTTTGAGCTAAACATAGATGGTGCACCATCCATACAAACCCTCACAGCCGTTTTAACCCATTCTAGTCATCCAATTAAAAAAAAACGTATTTATTTTCTCCATGCTATATTCACAAAAGAGCAACTCTTCTTCGCTATCATTTGAATGAATATATTCAAAGACCAGCAACTGCGAACACGAACTCACGTCTGTTGATTTATCAACTTAAAAAGCCAACAATGGTGAAAGCTTAATGTCGATAAAAATGTGTTATTTAACATCTACGGACATGTAAGAATTAACTTCACCATCTTCAACATACAGCGTTTGATGAGATTTTCTCCTATTGTGTTTTTTTTTTGCTTGGCATTTTCTGTCGCGACTTCATGTGATGCTTGCACTGATGCTGTGTTTCCTTGGTGTGTTCGATTAAGTCTCTGACGTTTGCAACTAGCTTCGACCGACGAAAGAACTCCATATCTTTTTTGGTGTGTTTCGAATGACTCGTCCCAAATGACGTTTTAGTTTTGAAGATTTCATAAACTCGTGACTGAGAACAACTTTGTACAGTACGCTTTGCTTCTTCTCTAATCCCTTTCCAGTGATGTTAGTAAAGTCGAATTTCACAAAATTCTTCTAAATATTTATGTTTTATTTCAAATTACTAAGGTTTAGTATACCAGTAGGCGACCCCACAGAAAGCCCTTCCCATGTTGGGAACCCGTGGTCTAGATGACCACAACAGTATGGCCAGTGGAGAAGACATCTCAATATCTTTTACAGGTAATGGCCATTTGTTTGGAGAAAATTTGTCCTAAAAATATCTACCAGCATGCTTACTATGTTTTGTGCTGATAAAGTCTTTATGTTGGAACATTCTGTAGTTTGAAATGTTTACTGGATGAGTATCTTAAGATGGTGATGGTTGAGATGGTTGTGACAGTTGGAGGTTGTAGATAGTTTTTATGTTTTATGTTTGTCAAAGTTTTGCAGGTAATAAATTTTTACAGTAATAAAATTGTTTTGTTTACCTGTACAGGTACACATGAAGTACAAGAATGTCTTGAAGGTCAAGGTGAGATAGATCTACACACACACCTGGCAAACTGTAAGAAAAATCCTGGCCATAAAAACTTTATACCTGTAAATCAGTTAAGTCTTGAACATTTTCCTCCTGGTTACCATGACAACGATGTGTATGACCTCACAAAAGTCCTGGCTGACCTAACTGTCAGGATAGCCGTTAAGTTGACCAGTCCATACAGACCAGAGTTTGTACCAGGCACTAAAGATCCATATCCTTGCTACAACACCAGGGGTGAGAACTCACTGAGGACAGGGACTGGGAGGGTGGGGGAAGTGAACAAGTACACAAAGGGGATGGACCAGACATACAGGACCTACAGAACTTGTCCATGTCCTGAATGTGACCACTCGGACACACCCAGCAAAGTGTGGTGGGAGGTTGATGTGGTGACAGCCAGACATGTGGTTTTTGATGAGAGTGAGGCGAGACAGTCCAGCTGTAGGTTGTGGTTTAATGATGATAAAAGTCCAGTGGTCAAGATTTATGGGTGGGAGGTGAGTGGGTCGAACACTGAGAGGGATTTGTGTGGGTTGTATTGTGCGACACATGACGTAGATGTAGCTGATAAACTGGAGGAGATGGTGGTGCGGTTTTATGTTCTATGTCTGAAAGTTTGGGACAAATACAAGAGTAATAGACATGTGGACAAGCTGACCATTATAGTGTCACATCCTCATGGCTGTTCTAAGCAGGTTTCGGTAGGTCACTGTGTACACAGGCAGGAGGTGGGGGGTGGATGGACCAGGTATACGTACACAACTTGCACCTGTCCAGGTAGCAGTGGGGCTCATGTCTACAGACTGGGGTGTATCTGGTCTAACCATCCCCACAGTGGAGCTAAGTCTCGTGGATTAAATTATAGTGGGGTGTGGGTAGACTAAGACTAGTAGTTGTCTCCTCTTGTATAGAATGTAAACAAACATGGCGTCTGTTGGATGTCTGTCTTTTCTAGAATGTAAACAAACATGGTGCCTGTTGAATGTCTACTCTTAAAATATTTCTTGACATTATTGTAGAGCTTTATTAAACTTTTAATTCATTATCTTGTTATTTGTATCAGAGAAAAAGTTTTTGATTGATTGGGAGTTGAGAAAAAATGTAACTGATTTCTTGTAAATATAAACGTAAAAACGTTTTAAAGCAACTCGTTTTCTTTCTAATTTTTGTTGGTTTGAATTTTGGATGACGCTAAAGTTTGAATCTAGCGACTCTCAATATTGTCGCAAAAGTTTGGTTCTAGCAACTCTCGATATTAACGCTAAAGTTAGGATATAGCGACACTCAATATTGACGCTAAAATTGGTATCTAGCGACTCAATATTGACGCTAAAGTTTAGATCTAGCGACTCAATATTGACGCTAAAGTTTGGATCTAGCGACACTCAATATAGACGCTAAAGTTTGGATCTAGCGACTCTCAATATTGACGCTAAAGTTTGGATCTAGCGACACTCAATATAGACGCTAAAGTTTGGATCTAGCGACTCTCAATATTGACGCTAAAGTTGGGATCTAGCAACTCACAATATTGATGTTAAAGTTTCGTTGTTTCTATAGCAACTTGTTAGATCCTGCCAGTTTGGCCTATAAATTTAATTATAGGAGGAATTGGATAGATAAAAAAGCAATGAGCATTTTTATGGTGTCTGCTATAAAATAGAGATAAACGTAGGATCCAACTAGGAGGGATAAAAGAATGAGGTATGATGGTCAAAGGGAAATTACAATTAAAAAAGAAAAATATTTAAAAAAACATGAATTATGTACCTTCAAAATTTTTTAGCTAGTGTCCATGTAATATTTATTTTATATTTGTCACACAAAGTCAGATAGCAAATTGTTATCACACAAAGTCAGATATCTAATTATTTTAGTGACACCGATGATCGTTGTAAATAAAATGTTTGTATTTGTTACAAGGCAGTTTTTACATTGAGTGTCAACATCCAAAACTTGTAAATACCTAATTGCTCAATTAAATTAATGAAAATTGAATGTCCTAGCTTTATACGGGCGGTAAAATAAACGTACACAAACACTGGACTGGCATGACCAAGCTTTATACGGGCGGTAAAATAAACGTACACAATCACTGGACTGACATGACCAAGCTTTATACGGGCGGTAAAATAAACGTACACAAACACTTGACTGGCATGACCAAGCTTTTTACGGACGGTAAAATAAACGTATACAAACACTGGACTGACATGACCAAGCTTTATACGGGCGGTAAAATAAACGTACACAAACACTGGACTGGCTTGACCAAGCTTTATACGGACGGTAAAATAAACGTACACAAACACTGGACTGACATGACCAAGCTTTATACGGGTGGTTAAATAAACGTACACAAACACTGGACTGGCTTGACCAAGCTTTATACGGACGGTAAAATAAACGTACACAAACACTGGACTGACATGACCAAGCTTTATACGGACTGTAAAATAAACGTACACAAACACTGGACCAAGCTTTATACGGGCGGTAAAATAAACGTACACAAACACTGGACCAAGCTTTATACGGAGGGTAAAATAAACGTACACAAACACTGGACTGGCATGACCAAGCTTTATACGGGCGGTAAAATAAACGTACACAAACACTGGACTGACATGACCAAGCTTTATACAAGCGGTAAAATAAACGTACACAAACACTGGACTGACATGACCAAGCTTTATACAAGCGGTAAAATAAACGTACACAAACACTGGACTGACATGACCAAGCTTTATACGGGCGGTAAAATAAACGTACACAAACACTGGACTGGCTGTAAAGTGTAACTAGGTCAAGGTGACACTTGTGTATGATTTCAACTGGAACATCTCCACACACGCTACCGTGACGTCATTAGGTAATCAAAGCTGTCTGACCTGATGAAATAAAACATTAATACGACAGCCTGTAGGTCAAGAATACAGCCGTGGCGAGTGTTGATTAGCTTGATTAGGGTGTAACAGTTAATAGAACTTTAAAAATAAAATTAAACATACTTGATTGCGATTCAATACAGTAGTAACTAGTAACGCATGAATTGTCCTGGTGACATTATTTTTAGTTTTAAATCATTCTATGTATAACTTAATTTCAACTATGTGTTGATTCATCGTATACCTAATTCAATCATTAGTAGCACGTAGTATAGGCCGCAACATAATTAGCTCAACTCATACAATTTTTACTCTTTTAAAAAGGTTAATTTATTATCTTTGGATCTAATCATTTACTACTTAGTTATTAACATTTTTTAAGAAAAAGATGTATAAAAAATTGGTGACATAATTACTATAAAACGAAGGAACATGAAAATGCGGTATCGATACCGCTAATAGTGTTTCTAGTTTGTGAGACATTTTGCAAAGTCTTCTAAACGGATAAATCTAAAATAAATATGCAAGTTAGGAAGCTTAGTAAAAAATAAAAATAATCCCACTAAAAACAGAGTTTGTCTCAATGTTTTACTATTTTAAGTAAATTTTTGAAAACTCACCTTTTAAACTCAATATGAGATTAACAAAAACAAGTAAAAAGTTGAAATAAAAATTATACAGCGGTAACGGATAATAATCGCTGCTAATAAGGAGGGCATATATGATTGGAATCATAATCGCGTTCTATCGTTTTTTAAACGGTTAACATACCAATGCGAACGACTACATTTGAATTAGATTTTTGTGTGCACGAAAGAGCCTGTGACGTCGTATTTATTTACTTGTAAATCGAGCTACTCTATAGCAACCTAAACTTTTATATAGTTTAAGTGCTATTTTTCGTCTTACGGTCTAAGGGAAGTAACAATTAAAATATAAAATTTCTTTAAGAAACTCCAATTACGTACCTTTTTGTGTCAGTTTAAAATTCATCCGCATTCTAATTTGTTTCTTAAGATCTTGTATATATTTTTTAAAACAGTGATTTTAAGATTTTTTCTTGATGTGTTGCCCTAATTAAGACTGCTGCTTAATTAAGTCAGATCTGATGGCCTAATTAAATAAACTCTTAAGGTCAGACCTGGTTCACGTGACGCTTGTCATCTGACGGTCAACTCTAATTCACCTACACTACCCTGACATCGGAGAAAGCCTAGATAACGTACGTCATCGTTGGATGTTTTGTTGACAAGCCATTGTGGGACTTTGTTTCTTAAAGTTTCAATATTGCTTCTGTTACCTAGCATAAAGCTTAATGATATGCGGTTGGTAGGTATCCTTAAATCCAATTTAGCATGTTATGAGGTACCTGCCATTCTTCAATTTCCTTTCCTTCAGCGTTGAGGTCAGGGTTACCCTAGAATTGAGGTCAGGGTTACCCCAGCATTGAGGTCAGGGTTACCCCGGCATTGAGGTCAGGGTTACCCCAGCATTGAGGTCAAGGTTACCCCAGCATTGAGGTCAGAGTTACCCCATCATTGAGGTCAGGGTTACCCCAGCATTGAGGTCAGTGTTACCCCAGCATTGAGGTCAGGGTTACCCCAGCATTGAGGTCAGGGTTACCCCAGAATTGAGGTCAGGGTTACCCCAGAATTGAGGTCAGGGTTACCCCAGCATTGAGGTTAGGGTTACCCCAGCATTGAGGTCAGGGTTACCCCAGCATTGAGGTCAGGGTTACCCCAGCATTGAGGTCAGGGTTACCCCAGCATTGAGGTCAGGTTACCCCAGCATTGAGGTCAGGGTTACCCCACCATTGAGGTCAGGGTTACCCCAACATTGAGGTCAGGGTTACCCCAGCTTTGAGGTCAGGGTTACCCCAGCATTGAGTTCAAATTTACCCCAGCTCTGAGAGTGTCTGTTCATGTCTTCCACATACAGGCAATCTTTGATGTTTGGTAGAGAGCGGTCCAGTGGAGCGAAGCGATAGAATACATTTATGCTACACTCTATGAGTGTGTTTAGTACCCATTATCTCACATGTTGTTGTGTTAGTATAACGATATCTGTTGTTGGTATGTCATTTTTTATGAGGGAAGAATTAACCTTCTGTTCCTTGCCCATGGCTTCACAAGCAAGAATAGAGGAACCACCAGCTCGCCTTTATGGGCTCCTTCGAGGCGGAGCGCCCGGCCCCCTACCTGACAGGTGGAGAGCCCGGCCCCTACCTGACAGGTGGAGCGCCCGGCCCCCTACCTGCGGGGTGTAGAGCCCGCCCCCTACCTGCTGCAGGATTCCACAGGCAGGACGCCACATCTGTTTGTATTATTGCTTTCCTCCATCCCAATTAAGCAAAGCGTTGAATTATAGCTAGCTGACTACAAAAGCATTATATCTGGCTGTCTACAGTTAAATTGAAGCTAGCTGACTACAAAAGCATTATATCTGGCTGTCTACAGTTAAATTGAAGCTAGCTGACTACAAAAGCATTATATCTGGCTGTCTACAGTTAAATTGAAGCTAGCTGACTACAAAAGCATTATATCTGGCTGTCTAATGTTAAATTGAAGCTAGCTGACTACAAAAGCATTATATCTCGCTGTCTACAGTTA